CAAGTTTTCATTTTTCTCTACAATGTAAGTTATCAAGGACTTATATGTGAAAAGCCCTAATTTTAAATCCTATTTTTATCAAATAAAAAAGCCAAAGTTTAGAAATCCCGATATAAATCAAATTGAACTGTTGGAGCAACTTGTTTTAAGAACCCTAGCTTAACCTCAAGCAAACCAAAATCCGTCTGATGCAGACTAAACAAAATTAAATTGAAGAAGCATGGGTTTGATAAAATTACCGTCTTTGAGGGGAGTCAAGCACTCGTATGAGATTTCGAACTGAAAAGGGCTGAGGAAAGCGGCCGGGTTGTCCAGAACGGCGACGTTTGTAAGGTTGACGGCGCTCATATTCTCAGATCGAGATAAGACTCTAGTGCTTCCTCGAATAGACCAATCCTAGCCCTGGATTGGATATCCTTCCTCCACGAACAAGAAAACCCTAGAACGGATTTTGGGCGGTAGCTGGAGGTGAAAGCAGGAGAATATAAGTAAGAAGAAATGGGTGGAAATTGCAATTCCCATTTTCGAATAAATATGTATAGCTGATGTGGAGGGAAAATACACAGTTTGGCGGGAGTTTTAAACTTTTGTTGATATTTCGTCCATGGAAATTCAGTTGTGGCCTCGTTGTTCGGCCCGCAGTCTTTCGACCCGTTAATTTAGACCCGACCGATATCAGATGATGAAGCCCAATCCTACCAGTGGGCTCGCACCTAATTATTCGGCCTACAGTCAATACGTGGACCGCCTAACAAGTCACAACCTCAAAATGGTGTGTTGACCGGTAGCTCATTACTCATCAAGACATTTTCAGGGTTAATGATGTTTAGCTTCAATTTAACTATCAAACCAACTAGGTTTATACTTTTAACTCAATATGTCTTGATGATCGTCCATGCAACCCAAAACACCTAGCAATTCTACTTACATCAAAGGATCGCCAAACTACACTTTAATTTAAGGGACAACAATTAAAAATGAACTCGCATTCAAATTGTAGCTCAATGAATTTCGACTCATTGAGAAATATTAGGGTCTATTAGGATTAGGCTTATTATAAGGCTAAACTGTGTTTTTTTGATGATTTTGAGACAACTGAAACCCATGTATGCTAAGATATGATTAAAAATGAAATGAATAAAACAAGTGGATTTCAAATGATTCAATGCATACAATTATTTCAAATGTGTTTCAAGTGTACTACATCTAGTTATTTCAATCACATTCAATCTAATATCTTAATAACTTAAACAATTACTAACCTAAAAGCTAAAGCATGCAACCTTTTGCACCGCTTAAATTAAACCTATTATATTTCAAGTGTTCGTTTTTATCAATCATTTTTATAAAAAAAAATTTATCTCCGACTTTAAAGTTAATTCTCTACATGAATTCAATTTTGTTTCACTGAATTGTGACGATCAACCTAGTAAGTCTTTAACCCTAACAATGTAATTTTTTATATGGTTTATTATATTTTGTGGGATGTTAATTAGTGATTTCTTTATTATCTAAAATCAAGAATAATAATGTTTATATGATTTCTTTATTATCTGATTTATGAAATTTACTTTTAAAATAGTTATGGAGAATTATTTTAAAAGAAAAGCGACAGATCAATTGTCACCTCCTCTAAGAAAAGATGCACTAAATCATGGTACTACAAAACGTCAATGTGAGGAAATCAATCTGGCTAATCTTCCTTCATATCGTAGCCAACTTAAACCCTCAACATAGTAAGGTGTGGGGCGAAAGGCCTAACTCCACGATTATCGATATACTGTTGGTGAGGACCAAGGGGCGTCAAAGGGATATCCATATGCCATTGGATACCGCCGAGGCTAAGAAGCATAATGAGAAGGGTGAGAAGACGAAGGAAAATGGCACTAGCTAACCTACGCATAGAGATAAAACAAGAACTCCACTAGTATCGCACGAGTAAGCTGTATTTTTTTATGAACCTTAATTTCGACTCCATGTACTCTTTTTACATGAATTTGACAAAAAAGAAAGAAAATAAGTTCATAACAAAGTTGTAAGAACATAGCATTTGCATGACTTTTGAAAAAACTTTTTTCCTCAATGACCAAATTGAAAGTTTATATAAAACTCAATGACAAAAAAGGTATTTAACGCATAAACTTAACGAAAACTAACAACAAATCTATAAATTATAAACTCTAGGTAATATAATGACCAATTTAGCAAAAAAAATATTATAAGTAACCAAATTGAAAGTTTGTGAAAAACGTAGTGACAAAAAAATGTATTTAACAATGGAAAAAAAATCTACATGACTACACTACCTTGCACACAATTTGTTATTATCTCATGTTTTACATGGCTATCAGTACATTCAATATCGAAATCTTTTGCTCTTGCTTTTATTTTGTTCACACGTCAAATCTTTATGTTGTTTATTCAATTCCAATGATTTGTCTACTTGATTATTTTAATAAATAAGGGATTTTTCTTCTATATATATAAAAGCAAAAGGCAGAGAATGGTGAAACATTCAAAATACCAGAAAATGCCCTTGGTTAATGCAAACATTAAGAATTGAAATTATTAATTAAATGAGGATAATATGGTAAATTCACACCTTTTCATATTTAAAAAATATATAATTAAAAGAAAAATCAGATAATGGCCTATTTTTATGGAACACAACTACCCATTATCTTTTTTAATTCTAAATAAATTTTTTTTTTTTAAAAGCCTCTCGCAGGCGCGGAAGCGCGTGCAGAGGCTAGTTTGTCAATAATAAAAAATGTGATTATAACATAAGAATTATGTGATTCCTTTATATTTACAGGGTGTATTCAATTTAGATATTAAATAATTTTAAAAGAGTTATAAAGTTGATGGAGTTTAATTGAGTTTGACTGAATTCTACAAACTCCACATAGATTTTGATTGAATTCGTGTATATATTTTAATTGAGTTTGTTATAATTTTATTGGTTTGTATGGAATTTATAGCCCTAAAAAAAACAAAGGGTTTAGGGGTGATGGCGATGGTGGTTTATGGGTGACGGTGGAGGTGGTGGAGGTGGTGGAGGTGGTGGTGGAGGTGGTGGCGGTGGTGGTGGTGACGATTTGGGTGATGGTGGGGCTGATAGTGGGGGTGGTAGTGGCGGCAGTGGTGACAGTGGAGCTGGTAATGGGGGTGGCAGTGGTAGTGCTGGGGCAGTGATGATTGCGCTGGTTGTCGTGGTAGGGGCGGCAACGGCGATGATGGTGGCGACAATAGTGATGATAGCCATGATAAGATGATGGTAGTAGAAGTGGTGAAATCATATATTGAGAATAAAAATAGTATATTTATCAAAATCTATGGGGGGAAGCAAAAATTTGTCATGCCCTAAAGAGTAATGCTACTCTTACCACATTTTTATACTACATTCTCATACCACATTCTGTGACAGCTTAGGTGGACAACCACATTAATAAATAAATAAATAGTGGAATAAAAATACAAATAATTTTAATTTATATGGATGTTCACCTCATTTGCCACATAAGGGGGTATGAGAATGTGGTATACAAATGTGGTAAGAGTAGCATTATTAAGGCCTAAAATAGTCTAAAATAAAAGGAAATCCACCAATTTTTGTATTTCCTTTAAAAAATTAATAAGGTTTTGAATACACTCAAACTTTTATAAAGTCTTTTAAAGTCGTAATTGAATACATCCAAATTTGAATGGAGTTTAAAAAATCTGAATTGAATACACCCAAAATAGTTTAGATTTCTATAAAATCGTGATTGAATACACTTTTTAAATTCGTTAAAATCTTTTAAAATCTCAATTGAATACACCCTTTGTTGATGGTTCAAATCATCACTGTAAGTCGAGCCTATCAGAGAGCACTACATGGCCACAAGGGACTAGGTCGCCTTCGTACCGACCTAACCAGATTGACCACCTAGGGTGTCAATAAAAGGCCTCCTAACTGAACCTGTCGAGAGATACTATGTGAACCTGTGGTCGGGCATTCGAACACCAACCCAACCACTGAGATGCCGTGTGACCAAAGACACACATTGATATTCTAACATGACCAAACCCTTGTCGAGTCAATCACTCCATGCACCTGATGCCAGCCTAGTGATGGAAAAGGATCATTTAATGTGCTTCACATCCAAAGCCAGGTGTCACTTTGCTACTTAATCTATAGTAACCAGCATGGTGATGAGTGCCCACAGTGGCTCTCCGGTCCGACCATTGGGTAAGAAAAAGCCCTCTTTCCTTGGAAAGATTGGAGGATATTTGCCCCTCATTTTCCCCTTATAAAAACTATTCACCTGTATTAGGACAAAAGTAATAAATATTCTCATATGCAAACTCTTCATCCCTCTCTTCATACTTAAGCTACTTCTAACTTAGCCATCGGAGGGAGTTCAACTGGGATACACCCAGTCTGCTCCTATTATGATAATTGCTTGAAGTGTGCAAATCATGTCCAGAGAGCAACTTAAACCACGTGATTAGGTATAAGCCATAATCTTGACCCAGGTTAGGGCCACTAGCATCACAAGAAAGAAGCCTGATTTACACCCCTTTAGTTTGGTAACAATATATTTTTTTATTTTCGCATTTTAATCAATAATACTATCAAACTTGAATCGACAATGGTGTCTAAAAACATTTTGACTTTCTTGTAGTTTTTTTTTTTTTTTTGGTCATAACTTTCTTGTAGTTTGTTACCTAGTTTAGTGGAAGTGTGGAATGAGCACACGAGGGGAGGGGGTCATGCGATTAAGCTGCAAATAGTAAAATGTGTAATTATTAGACCAAACGCGACCTGAACCTGATAGCGCCGATGTGGGAGACGTAGCGTTTTACTGGTATACACCATACATTTCACGACATCAAATCAAATTAAAGAGCGTTATCAGGGAATAAATAAAATCAAATAAAATCAAATAAAATCAAGTGAAACATAGGGAGTGTTTGGCAACGACCTTATAACCTCCACCACCCATCCTCACGGAGATGCCGAAAAGGTCAAAATGAAAAATGAAATCATAGGAAAATAGAAAAAATGAAAAAAAGGGAAAAAATGAAAATAGAATATTCCCATTTTGGGGCTCAGTAGCTGTACATATAGCATTTGCACCTGGCTTCACAAACCCTAGTCTCTTCTTTACTCTCTCATTGTCTACCTGAAGCCCTAGCAGAATGGCTTCGCGAAGGCTCTTATCTTCTCTCGCCCGGTCCTCCGTACGCCGAGCACCTTCTAAATCTCCGATCTCAAGCCCTAACCCTAGAATCGCATCCCCATCGCCATCGTCTCGATGCGCTTCTCCTTATGGCTACATCCTCAACCGTGTGGCCCAATACGCCACCGCCGCCGCTGCCGAAACAACGACGGCGTCATCATCCCCTAAAAGTAAGGACGCCGGGAAGGGAAAAATTACCGACGAATTCACCGGGAAGGGCTCGATCGGGCAGGTGTGCCAGGTGATCGGAGCCGTTGTCGATGTGAGGTTTGAGGAGGGCTTGCCCCCGATCTTGACTGCACTTGAAGTGCTGGACAACTCGATCCGATTGGTGCTTGAGGTGGCTCAGCACTTGGGCGAGAACATGGTCAGGACCATTGCTATGGATGGTACTGAAGGGCTTGTAAGAGGACAGCGCGTGCTCAACACTGGTTCTCCTATCACTGTAAGCTATATATACGATTGTTTCCCGGTCCGCGCTTACTGATTTTACTTCCTAGGCCATGGTTGTCACTAGATTTGATGAGAAATGTTAGGGTTTCGTTATGTTTGATGGTAAACTGTTGACTTTGATGGATGGGAATGTGTTGGGTTTTGATTGACTTTTGAATTGGTGCTGGGGTTTTCAGATCTGGATGTTATTATTGTTTTTCTCTCTGGTACATTTTCTCTTAGTAGAATCGTTGCTGAGTGATTTACATTTCTGGCTTCTGCTGTTCAAAGCTTTAATATTTTAGGTCCTTTTTAGGGTTCAAGTAATACATTGACCGTTAGCTATTAAATTTAAACATGTCTTCATTGGCTAGATTTTCTTCAGATTTTGTGGTAAAATTGTGAACTTTTCTTTCCATTTTTCGTCTATAATCTTGACATTCAGCACTCTTTTTTGTTGTAGTTGATGTGTTTATTTTTTTGAATTTAGTTTCAGTTTTTCCTTGAACTCTGACTTATACTTTGGTATTTATTTGCTTTTTTAGGTGCCTGTTGGTAGGGCTACCCTTGGTCGAATCATGAACGTCATCGGAGAGCCCATTGATGAGAGAGGCGATATGAGTAAGAAATTTAGAAACCTTTTAAAACAAATCACTTGGTTAAGTAGTTGTGTGAATATTTTACTGCAACATGTCAAATACATGCCACGCAAGTTTCTGACAATTTCTTTGTGAATACTCCAACAGAAACCGATCACTTTCTGCCCATTCATAGAGAAGCTCCTGCCTTTGTTGAGCAAGCAACTGAACAGCAGATCCTTGTTACCGGAATCAAGGTATATTGGTTTTAACCTTTACTATCTTTACTTGTAATAGCATTTGATCCTCTAATTGCTGTATTCCCTTCCTTTAATGTATATGTTATGTGCTCTAGATTCAGTTTACTAAATTACTGGCTTCATATACAGGTTGTAGACCTTCTTGCTCCCTACCAAAGAGGAGGAAAGATTGGGTTGTTTGGTGGTGCCGGTGTAGGAAAAACTGTGCTTATTATGGAACTTATCAACAATGTTGCAAAGGCTCATGGTCAGTATTTTTTTGGAAATATATACATGTTAGTACACTGGTATGTCAGTGTTATTGTTTGTTTACATCTCTTTTCATTGATCAGGTGGTTTCTCCGTGTTTGCCGGTGTTGGAGAACGTACTCGTGAGGGTAATGACTTGTACAGGGAAATGATTGAGAGTGGTGTCATTAAGCTAGGTGAAAAGCAGGTAAAGACACTGCATTTCACTTGCCACCCTCTCTCTACGCATTCATTACTGTGTCTGTTTTCTGGAAAGTTATTGCTTACTTGCTCTTCTTCCTTTTCTTTTTCATCAGGCTGACAGCAAATGTGCTCTAGTGTACGGTCAAATGAATGAGCCCCCTGGTGCTCGTGCTCGTGTTGGTTTGACTGGGCTGACTGTGGCAGAACACTTTCGTGATGCTGAAGGGCAAGATGTGCTTCTCTTTATTGACAACATTTTCCGCTTTACCCAAGTAAGCGTGATTGCTGAGGAACTATGGAAGATTGTTTGTCCTCAGACATTGAATATTGTTAGTGACGCTATGTTTCTTTCTGGCCCATCCTGCAGGCAAACTCTGAGGTGTCTGCTTTGCTTGGTCGTATCCCATCTGCTGTCGGATACCAACCTACTTTAGCTACTGATCTTGGAGGTCTTCAAGAGCGCATTACTACCACCAAGAAGGGTTCCATCACTTCTGTCCAAGCTATTTATGTACCTGCTGATGACTTGACAGATCCAGCTCCTGCCACCACCTTTGCTCACTTGGATGCCACCACTGTGCTGTCACGACAGGTCTGGCATCTACATGGATTAATTGTAGTTTATCTTGCCATGCTATATTTTTAGTAACCTTGTTGACATTTTGAATTGAACAGATCTCTGAGCTTGGTATCTATCCTGCTGTCGATCCCCTTGATTCCACATCTCGTATGCTCTCCCCTCATATTTTGGGTGAGGAACACTACAACACTGCTCGTGGTGTCCAGAAGCTTCTTCAAGATTACAAGAATTTGCAAGATATTATTGCTATTTTGGGGATGGATGAGCTTAGTGAAGATGATAAGTTGACAGTCGCCCGTGCCCGTAAAATTCAACGTTTCTTGAGCCAGCCGTTCCATGTTGCAGAGGTTTTCACTGGTGCCCCTGGAAAATACGTGGAGTTGAAAGAAAGCATTACCAGCTTCCAGGTATCCCTTCCTCCTCTCTCCCTCTCTGTTCTGACTGCATGTTTCCTCATTTCTGATATTGAAGTTTTGTTTATTATTTTCCCAATTACCGGTGGAATTCCTCTCTTGGAGAAACTATAAATTATATAGTTCTGGTTTTCCATGATATTTTACTATAACATTTAATTATGTATGTTTTGAAATGATGGAGTCGTTAAAGTATTAACAGGAGAATTAACGTTTGCCAAATTCAGGATGATAGAGGATGGGGTTGTTTATGTCCATCAAAGTCTGCTATAATCTTTGTTATCTTTTGATAATCATTTTATTCAGGATAAGGACAACTTTTGTTTTTGGTTGACCTTTCGGTATCTGTTAATCATTTAATTCTATGCTTGATGCTATCTCAGTTTATTTCTCTCTTTCTCCACAAGAATAAAGGCCATGAGTTAACAATGTTACTTACCACCGAGTCACCCTCTTAAGTTACACCCATCTATTTTGTGCATGCATGAATAGTACCAATGATGATATTAGGACTAGTGAGCTTGATTCATACTTTGCTTTTGTTATTTTATTTTGACAGGGAGTGTTGGATGGAAAGTATGATGACCTTTCAGAACAATCGTTCTACATGGTTGGAGGTATCGAGGAGGTCATTGCTAAGGCAGAGAAGATTGCCAAGGAGTCTGCTGCCTAATCTTCTTCCCCCATCTCACCTGTTCCTTTTGTCTTGATAATTGCGAAAAACCCAAATAATTTAGATGCAGCTGGCATTGCTAGCGGACAGGATTTTCATTTTTGAGAAACAAAGTGTATGAGCATTTTCTATTTCAGATTTAAGCATACCGCAGAGTGTGAGAGAAATGGAGCCAATGGGCCTAACCCCTTTTTTCTTGTTGTTCAATAAGGGGAAAAAGAAAGAGGACGTGTATATTTTTTTATCTCCTTTTCTATTTTGAAAAATTGGATGCGATTGATGTCAAGTTAAACCCGTGTTCATGTGAATTATTTGAGAGTTGCAGGCTATGCCTAGCTGTTATCCAATTTGCTCCTTGTGTACTTCATATGCATAATCCCTTGTTTTGTTCTACTACGTGGAGTTGTGAGAGTGGCTGGTTAGGTTGGCTGCGATATGCAAATAATTTCGACTTCGATTGTGTTATTAATTGCAGACCTAGCCTTGTTCAATTTTGGTTGTGTGGACTCCAACCCAGCTAAACGGTCTTTTAACTTCAATATCTTCATCCACACACCCAACAATTGATGGCCTCGTTCGTTTGATGGTTTGGCTTGGATGGTTTGGTGGTCTAGATCATGGATCCGGATCCTCTGCATCCTCTGCTCAAGACTCTTGCCCACTTTAATTGAAATCAAGTAGTCTAGTCCAGTGTCTACGTCACAACCAATTCCATTATCAGTTATCCTCCATAAGCCCAGGATCTCCCAAAACCAGTGCCACGTGGACACGCGACTATCCAAGTCTAACCTCAACCCGATCCAACCACGTTGTTCATCACTTGACCTTTGAGATTCTCGACCGTTTGTTGTGTCATCACCTGCTTTGGCGCCGGCCTTTTCCCACCGTAGCCCCCCGACACAAACATAAAATCCTCCCAACCCAAACCCAACAGCCATGTCATTTACAATTTTCCAACCCGCTTCGGTGCCCCTCCTCCACTCCCATGCGCACCTTAGCTCACCCCTCCCTCCCATGTCTATCTTACGCCGCCTCTACCCCAACCACCTAAAACTAAAACTACGCCGCCACCGCTTCGCCAGTGTCGCCGCCGCAGTACGCCAGGACACCGCGCTCTGGACCCAAGCCCCACTCTCCGAGATTGAACCAGCGGCCGAGTCGCTCTTCCACGTCCGCATCGACCTGTCCGACGCGCCCGACCTCGCTTCGTCCCACACGCGCGCTGGCCAGTATCTCCAGCTTCGCGTCCCGGACGAGTCCAAGCCCTCGTTTCTGGCCATCGCGTCGCCGCCTTCGTTGGCGGCGACAAAGGGCGTGTTCGAGTTCTTGGTGAAGAGCGTGGCGGGGTCCACAGCGGAGCTTCTGTGCAGCCTCAAGAGAGGGGACGTCGTGGAGCTAAGCCAGGCTATGGGGAAAGGCTTCGAGATTGATCGGATCGACCCGCCCGAGAAATACCCAACGGTTCTAATATTCGCCACGGGATCTGGAATAAGGTCAGCAAAATAAAATTATTTGATTTTAGAGCATTAGGGTGGATTTATTTGCCTATTTACAAGCGATTTGACATGCCACAGCCCTTGAATATGTGCAGTCCAATCCGTTCTCTGATTGAATCGGGGTTTAGCGCCGATACAAGATCTGACGTCAAGCTCTTCTATGGGGCTAGAAACCTCGACAGAATGGCTTATCAGGTTTCTAAACATGAAATTCTATTTATTTGTTTTCATATCCTCAATTTCAATTTATGACTTTTGCGTGATTGTGGTTCTTGTTCCTCCCAAATCTTATAGGATAGATTTAAGGACTGGGAATCTTCAGGTGTTGAGATTGTGCCAGTATTATCACAGCCGCATGATGGTTGGACGGGACAAAGCGGTTATGTGCAGGTAGACCTGTGCTCATGCGCTTCAGTGGGTTGTAAGCTTATTTTGAGTCGTCTCACTTTGAACTGCCCAAATAATGCATTCTATGGTTACATTTTCAGGCTGCTTTTTCCAGAGCCAAGCAAATTTATAACCCTCTTTCTACAGCTGCTGTTTTATGCGGGCAGAAGCAGATGACTGAGGTACCTTAATGTTCTATTTTGCATTTGTAAATTTTATGGTTTGTGTCTCCATGTTTGTTTGAATCTTTCTGAGCATCCTCTGGGTTGATATTTGATATTGTGGCCGCTACATTGGTAATTAAAAAGTTATAATCGACTGAATGTCTTGTGTTTGTCATGTTCACACTCATACATGGACTTAAAGATAGATATTGTTCTGTGACCTATATAATTTTGAAATCTTACAAGGAGCTAGTCTCAGTCATGATCTGCGCCAAACAATGTGCTACCATTGTCTTGTTTACTAGTTTGTCCCACAACTTAGGTGTAAATAATTTATTGCATTACCACTTATTTGGTTAAACAAAAGTACAAAGATCAGTTTGTCCTCAAGCTATATCTTGTTCCTTATCTTATATGTTTAGAAGGATTGGTAAATAGACGAATCTGTTGATTTTGAAATCAAAGTTTTATGATCATGGTCCTAGTTTTTGTGGTTTCCCATGATATCTTTATTTCACACGGCTTGCTGCTATCATTTAAACTTGATCACATTTCGTTGGCATCTGCATAGTAACTTGCGCCAATGTATCTGTCTTTTGCTTTCGTTACAGATATGATGTTTGTCTTTTGGGATTGGTTGATATAGTCATGATTGTTCATATAAACCAGTTCCACCCTTAGCAGTCAACCAACTGAATTTGCTTACTTTAGTGGATTACACAATTATTGTTAGTCAGAAAAATAGAACTACGTGATTCATGTAAAGAGAAATGTAGATAAAAGGAATTTGGGCGATGACCAACTCCAGTGAGTGAGGTGTCTTTTGTTTAAAATAGTTGATGCCTCATTTAGTTCTCATGTCTGTCCATGTAGCAAGTACTGCAAGCTAAGCCACTCTCCATGTGCTGCTATAGACTTAATTCTGGTGTTAGCTTCAGCATTGTCACTTTGATCTCTATCACGATCAAGTTTCAAAGCAGACGTTACAATTTGAAATGTTTGCTCATTGCAGGAGGTTACCTCAATTCTTATAGCAGATGGAGTCTCCAGTGAAAAAATACTGAAGAATTTCTGACTAAACCATCAAAATAGATTGTTGTATCATTAGTACTGAGCGACAGTGTATTGATTTGTTCCCCACTGCTGAGGATAGATTATCCTAAGCTTGGAAAAAGAAAATAAATACAATTTTGGGATTCTAACATGTAAGCATCTTTGTAGTTTGTATGTTAAAATTGTTAATGATCCTCCCAGAAGATAGAATTATAAAATTTTAGCTTCGACATGGAAGGAAATTGCAAGTCAACTTGTTCTGAACTTTTAAATGATATTAGCCAATTTTTGTTAGCCAATGTTTGTATCGATATCAGAAAGTCCGGTAAACTGATAATAAAGGCTGCAACGTCACATAGATGATTTAGATACGCGTCTAGACATCAATCTACAAGTTTTCTTTGGTGTAGTTACATTTCTAAAACACTTAATAAGATTTAAATCTCCTTTTGGAGGAAAAAGAATTCCATTGCGACAATTTCAAATAAAATCCAACTTGTTATTGGAATATGTTAAGAAAGAACAGGCATCTCAATTCAAGTAACAAGTTAGGGTACAAATTCGGGCAACGTTACACAATTTGGTTTTCTGCAATCAAGAATTGAAGCAAAGTAAACAAGACCAATACAGTGAAGTGCTAACCCGCATTTTAAAAGATACTAATTTAATCCTCGTGGGCATCATTGTAGTTGTTATCAGTTGCATTTCCTCTAGCATCTTCTTTGCGCTTTCCATTTGGCTCAGGATCTCTGTCCTCTTCTAAGTGATGGTGACGATGTTTGTGGTGATGATGGCAATGGTGGCCACTTTTCTTGTGCCTCAACTGTTTACCTGCTTCGTCATGGTTGTCATCTGATGACTTTCCTAAAGATCTGCTCCTTCGGTCGCGTAAGTGGGAATCAGAGTCTGCTGACCTAGAATCAACACTATGTGATCTTGATCGCCTATGACGTTTACGGTGTTTTGCATGCCTTTTCCTTCTAACATCACCATCCTCATAACTTGAAGAATCAGGAGAACGGGATCTCAACTGTCGGTGGCGTCTGTGGTGCTTAGAATGACCCCTTCGGATTCTTCTCTCATCCTCATCACTGTAAGAACCAGAAGAAACTGAATCTGACCTCTGATGGTGCCTGTGGTGCTTTGAATGACTTCTCTTGACTGTCTCAATATCATCATCACTGGAAGAATTGGAAGCACCGGAGTCTGATCTAGAATCATGATGTCTGTGCCTTTTGTGGTTTCGCTTCTTCCTCTTCCTATTTCCTTCGTAATCACTCTCATATTCATCACTGCCTTCATCACTTGAGCTTGAAGAATGTCTCCTTGGCTTTCTCTTGGATTTCTTCTCCTTCCTCTTCTCACTGTCACTTGTATCAGAGTGAGCGTGCTTCTTGTGCTTTTTGTGAGTTCTTTTACTTGACTTTCTTCTCCCATCACTGCTGTCAGTGTCACTATCGTTATCAGAAACAGACACAGATCTTCTCTTATGCTTTGAAGATTTCAGCTTCCTCTCTTTGGCTTCAGCATCAGCTTTTGCCTTGGCAGCAGCTTCTAGTTTCTGCTCCCATTTCAAAGGGGCTTCTTTCTTCTCCAAAGCTCTTTTCTTCTTCTCCTCAACCAGTTGCATGAACCTCCTGGTATCCATTTAGATATAAAAACCAGCACAATATCTGCATGTTTGTATGATGACCGGAAGTACATCTCACAGAAGAGAAAAAAAAATGTTAGTTCCTTAACCATAGAGTATGTTCAATAACAATCACAAACTTGTTTTAGAATCCCAAATACAAAGATGAATACTAATGCCAAGTCAATGAGTGATTGCTTGATACTCAATGTCATTCAAAATGAGCAAACAGAAAAGAACCTTAATAATAATGTTCTCTTTCCCCATAAAATACCAGGCATCACACTAGAGTCATAGCCCTCCTTCACATCTTAACATTCATCGTTTTAAAGCCATGCAGAAATTCAGAATAACAAAGATCCAACCAACATATGAACAGTGACTAGTTACTCCAGAAAACCTGGTACATTATCCACTATGAATCATTCCTATTCTAGGTTAATCTACAAATCAGTATCCACCAAAATACCTAACAATAACAATTGTTACCAACTGAAAGGTTATGGCACTGACACAAGTTTACAATGAAAACGAAAGAATGCAAATCCATTCCACCAAGAATAATACACACGTAAAGAATGAAACTTCTCACATTAGAAAACAAATGGAACGGTAGT